ATGGAATGGGGTGGAGGGAGAGAGAGAGAGAGAGAGAGAGAGAGAGAGAGAGAGATTTGTTACACTCGTTTTTGCATTCATTCCTCGATTATTGCTTGGGCACTGGGCATGAACTGAACATGAAACCTTGATACATCTGCACCATGCTCCAGCCAACTGAGCTCCCTGGTCAAGATCACTTTTTCCCCCTAAATATTTTGTTTACTTTAGTGAAGCTGATATACAAAGTCTTATCCCAGGCTGAAATGTACAAATAAAATAAAAAAGAGCTGTGTTCTGTTGCACATTCTTCTGCATGAATAAATTTATTAAATGCTGGTGAAAATTAAAACTTTTCTTGGATCTTCTGATGCCTGAGTTCTTGTTCCAGCATCGAGAAGGGTTCAGGAGAAGGCTGTGAGTAGATTAAATAGGAGTCCAGAGACGAAATATAATTTTGAAAGGCATTTGGGGGTCAGAGGAGCCTAGTTTAAAGGAAACTAAGATCTCCTTGTCTCAGGACCCCATGCTTTTTATTAACAATTTGTCCCAAGGCGAGGCAGAGAAATACACTTCAAAGGATCAGGGTTTCATATACAGAGGCATTGTCAGAATGGAGGAATTAGCCTACGGCTGTTCAGGTGTTGGGCCAGTAGGAGGCAATAACATGTAGATTAAATGCCCTGAGCTGTCTGGCAGCAAGCCATCATCCCTTTTCAGGTTTGGGGAAATGCCTTTAGCCATTCCCAACAGGTGATAACGTATGTGACTCAGCCCTTGTTGAGTCCCCAAATTCCATCAACCTTTTGAGGAAACTCTTGCAATTATGACATGCTGGGATTGGCTTCCAGCATTCTGACAAGATTTTTCTTTACTATTGAAATGCTTTCTCTTCAGTGAAGCTTCTTTGGAGTTAGTCTTACTCTCACCTTATCTGTCATCTTGACTCCAACCTGATATTCCTCTTCTTTTGGTCAGACCTTCAGATTTTAAAAGTAGCTTCAAGCTGATGAAAAGTCATAATTCCATAGTTCAGTTCGCTGAAAAACTCCCACCTCCCACTGAAAGTCATAGTCCAGGAGTGAAGCAATCACATGCCTATTAGAAGTATTATGAACACTTGCATTGGTCCACCTCATTTATCACAAGCCTCAAAATGCACCGTCCTGAAAAGGGTGGCCTCCCTGTGCACACACGTAATATTTCAAAAGGAGAGGGCGATATGAAGGAGGCTGAGGCTTGATCACCGACACTCAGCACAATGAAAACCAAAAATAATGAATAATGGGCACTAGAATTCAAATTACCACAGGTTTTAAAGTGTCAGGGCTTTGCAGACGCCGCTGCCCCGAAGCCGCCCGTGAGCAGCCATGGTGAACCCCACCGTCTACTTAGACAGCGCCACTGACAGCAAGCCCCTGGGCCGCATCTCCTTGGAGCTGTTTGCAGACAAAGTTCCAAAGACGGCAGAAAACTCCCATGCTCTGGCCACTGGGGAGAAGGGATTTGGGTACAAAGGTTCCTGCTTTCACAGAATTATTCCGGGATTTATGTGCCAGGGTGGTGACGTCACACGCCATAATGGCACAGGCGGCAAGTCCGTCTATGGGGAGAAATTTGAGGATGAGAACTTCATGCTGAAACATACCGGTCCTGGCATCTTGTCCATGGCAAATGCTGGACCGAACACAAACGGCTCCCAGTTTCTCATCTGCGCTGCCAAGACGGAGTGGTTGGATGGCAAGCATGTGGTCTTCGGCCAGGTGAAGGAAGGCATGGATATTGTGACAGCCATGGAACGCTCTGGTTTATGATTATGAAATAAAAACTAAATAGTTGTCTGTCAAAAAAAAAAGTGTCAGGAAGGGGCGGGGGTCACTTTTTCATTTCATTTGGAACACCACATTACAAAAGAACTATTTTTAGCAATACGAAAGGATTGAGGGAAAAGAAAAGGAAAAGAATATCTAAACCATTGAATAACCCCCAAACCAATGGGTCCTGGGTTTGATTTCACTCAATGGCACATACCTTAGTTTTAGGCGCCCCCCAGGTTGGCCCTGGTTGGGGCTTGTGTAGGAGGCAACCAATTGATGTGTTTTTCTCTCACATCAATGTTTTTCTCTGCCTTTCCCTGTCTCCCTAAAAATCCATGGAAAAATATCCTAGGGTAAGGTTTAAAAACAAATAATAATAAGTCAGATATTTTTCTTTCTTATTTTTTAAACCTCACCTGAAGACATGGTTATTGATTTTAGAAAGAGAGAGAGAGAAAAACATCGATGTGAGAGAAACACTGATTGGTTGCTTCTCATATACACCATGACTGGGATCTAATTGGAAATATAGGCGTTTACCCTTATATGAGATCAAACCAACAATCTTTTGGTGTATGGGATGATTACTCTAATCTACTGACCCACACTGCTCAGGGCAAGACCCAAACTCTTTAAGCAGATCTTTGGGGTTTGAATCTACCACTTAAAATGTAATTGAACATTACTGAGTTAATACACCAGTTCTGTTATGAAAATGTTTTGCCCTTGCCAGGTGGCTCAATTGCTTGAAGCATCATCCCATTATGGGTCCAATTCCTGGTCAGGCATACATGCAGGTTTTGGGTTCATTCCATCCCAGTCAGAATCAATCTCTCTCTCTCTCTCTCTCTCTCTCTCTCTTCCTCCCTCCTCCCTCCCTCCCTCCTTCCCTCTCACTAAGTATACCCTCAGGTAAGGATTTAAAAAAGTGTGGAATTCCCAGGTTTCATATCATGGCTCCATGCTCAGATAACATCTTTGGTTCTTCAGCCCAGGCCTCCCTGGAAGAACAGGTTCTGCCAGTTACACCTTCATTGTGCTGCTCTGATATTCTACCAAGCAGCCTGGGGGTAGCAGCCATCCAGGCTTCCCTAGGGGCTTAACAGCAAACACTTGGTTTGGTTGGGATAGAGACTCTCATATGGTGTGCCCATTGCTCCTGACAAAATCATCTGCAGGGGAGGCGGGAAACAGTCGGATCTGCATTTCTAACCAGGTCTGTCTGATCTCATTAATCCCGCTTAGAGATATCATTGAATTATGCATCCAGCAAACTTTCCCCACCCCCACCCCCATTTATTTTCAGAGAGAATGATAGGGGTGGGGGGGGGGGGCAGAGAAAGGTAAACATCTATGTGAGAGCGACACATCCATTGGTTGCCTTCTTCAGAGCCCAGGCCAGAGCCTGCGATAAAGCTCGCAACCAAGGAATCTACCCATGAGCAGAATCGAACCTCGGACTCTTCAATGCTCCATCCACTGAGCCAAACCGGCTAAGGCCATCCAGCAAACATTTTATGAGCTCTCAGTAGATGTTTGGCCCTGAGACAGAAGCCTGGGTGCACAGATCACATCGGAGTCCCCACTATGAGAGAACTGACCCTCCAGACAACAGAGATCATGTGACTTGAGGACTTCCTCCACAGGAATGGCTATGTCCAAACAGGGTGAGCAAAACTAACACCTGGATTGTAGCAATTTTCTGATGAAAATCACTTAGGGTTATTTGTTGGGAAGCATTTTAAAAATTAGAACAATATAGATAAATTTAATAGAAATCACTTGTTAAATAGGACACACTGGAAAGCAAATTGCTCTCTCACCTTGGAAAGAGGTCACCCAACCTCCTTATACCTTTCCTGCCTGCCCATCCTTACGTGTCTTCTGAATGGGAGGGGGTTAACTTGAAATGCAGGCAGGTAGGGCAGGGTCCAGTGGAAAACAAAGGCAGGTGAAACATAGGCGGAGGCAGGCATGGCAGTTTGAGCAGCAGAACCACAGGAACCTACCAAGCAGAAACCATGAAATGTTTATGGACTCAAAGCAGGAGGCATGAGAAACCAAGGGAGGGCCTGCAGTAACCAAGACGTATGAACACACAGAAACAGAAAAAGTTCAGCATAGGAACAGAGAACGAACACATAGAAACAGGGAAAGTTCAGGGCCGTTGCTGGGCAAAAACAATTGAGGGGATCAATCAGGTGACGACACAGGTAGACATAGAGCAGGCTTGTTGCAAATACCAGTATATACCCCTGGACTGCAAGGCTTTACCAGGCAGCGCTCTAGTGGGTCCCCCTCCCCTTGCAGGGAGTCTGAGTCTGCTTGTAATAAATTTTCCATACTTTTCCTTAAACCTTCTGATCCGTGTAGCTCATTCTTCCGAGATGGGAGACGTGACCTTGGGGAAAAACACCTTGGCTCACAGTTCCAGTTATCATATCTACCAAAAAAAAAAAATACTAATCATTTGCAATATATAAGCATATAGACATTCATTAGATTTTAATAGTTTCATAATATAATGTGAGACTACTATGTACTGTGTTGTACATTTTCCTCTTAAAAAATAATTTTAAGAGATCTAGCCAGTTTGGATCAGTGGATAGTCTGTCAATCTGTGGTCCAAAGGGTCCGAGTTCAATTCCAATCAAGGCCACATACCTCGGTAGCAGGCTCTTCCCCCACCTGGGCCCTTGTCTGGGCTCATGCAGGAGGAGCCTATTGTTTCTCTCACATCAATGTTTCTCTCTGTCTTTCCCTCTCTTTTCCACTTTCCCTAAAATTGAATGGAAAAAAATTCTTGGATGAGGATTAACAGAAATAAATAAATAATTTATAAGCATTTATTTGAGCCCCAAATGATGATAATTGCTGGGAAGCAAGATATCAAATACTCCATACAATTTGCTATTTACAAAAAAATATATCTACAGGTGTTTGTTTTGTTTTTTTTTTACACCAAAATGCAGATATATTTCAGGTATTGCTTGAAACCCACTCCATAGATGCGCTTGTGATGTTGATGTGTTCTCTGGTCACTGCCTCCTCCATGGCAGAAAGGCCCCTCTTCTCTCCACTCTTCTTTGCGGGAGCAACTATGCCAGGCCCAAGTTGGAAAGGAAGCAAAGATTTTATGTTTATTATTATTTAAATATATATATATATATATATATTGCCACGTAATAGAATGATCTAGTAGAACAAATTCCATGACAAATCATATAAAATACTCCGAGGGACTCCGCAGGCTCTCCGGTGGGCGCCAGGCAGGGACCCCACTGCCACTCACACGCGTAAACATCGGGTGGGCGCAGGCCAGGCCCGGGCGCCCAGTATAAACAGCCACGACCCCCGTGGCCTCTGTCCAGCTGCAGTGCCCGCCCCCCTGTTGGTCCCCCCGACAATCCACTCACATGCAGACGCCAGGGGTTGCCGAGCGCACCCACACCACTCTGGTCGAGGGGGCACCCCGCCCCCCAAACAAGCTCTTTGGCTTAGGCTCCAGAAACACAGGCCCCCAGGAGGGGCCTAAATATATTTTTATTGATTTCAGAGAGGAAGGGAGAGGGAGATAGAAACATCAATGATGAGAGAGAATCATTGATCAGCTGCCTCCTGCATGTCCCCCACTGGTGATTGAGCTGCAACCTGTGTATGTGCCCTTGACCGGACTGAAACCTGGAGCCCTTCAGTCCGCAGGCTGATGTTCTATCCACTGAGCCAAAACCCTTAGGGCAAGATTTTACTTTTCATTTCAGTTTACTCCTCAGCCAAATGGGAATAAAGGGTGTTGCGACATTCAAGGGAGGATTACAAAGGTGCAAATTAGATTATGCATATTTACAAGGTTAGTCCCTCTTGGCCTGAAGGAATAAGAGGAGATCCCATCAACCAGACTTTTGAACTTCCTCCTACCCCCACCCTCGCCCACAAGTCCCACCTCCAAGAAGGAGCCTTTGGTGGGTGAGGTCTTAGAGAGATTCACCCCCCTAGTGGTATATATAGGCCAGGCTCACATTACTAAGCATTTATCTGGTAGGAGACTGGCTTCAGAGACTCTTCTTGGAGACACACATCAGAGACTCACTCAAAGGATCAGGCCCTGGGGGGCGGAGGGGCCGGGAGTCCGGCGCTTTATCTTCGTCTGCGGCCGGGCTGGCGGCGTTGCCGGCCTTGGACACCCGGAGAGCTGCCCGGAGCTGACCTTCCTGCCGGCCGCGCTCTGACGGCCCCCGGTTCTGTCTTCCTTGCCGAGGTCCCCGCTGCCGGGCTCCGGCCCCAGGTAAAGCCCTTGCTCCCGATCCGATCCTCACTACCAGCCCGGGTCCACCCACCCCGGCCGAGAGGAAGGGGATAGAGGCGGCGGCTGCAA